GCATAATGTTTACCTATAGTCCAGTCAGTCCTTTCCGTAAAATGGTGAGACCAACTTTTAGAACACTGTTTCTCAACTGGGGTTTTGTGAGAGGTGCCCTGGGGTTCCGCCACAATCTGCCCTTCCATCACAAGCAGAAAACAGGTAGATAACATCCCCATATAGCTGACAATCAAGCTGCAGAGGGAAAACAACTTGCATTGCTGTCCTATGCTGATCCCAGACAGCACCCCCCTTTTTCTGACCTAAGTGCCTGTGTGCCATTACTCGGTAGGGATGAGAGAGGAGGGTGGGTGGGGATCAGCGCACCAGATATGATCCAGAAGCTTTCCTGAGCTACTATGCATGAGGAAAACTGCTACAGACCTTAGTATTGTTTCCTCCTGCCCCCCCCCCCCCTGTACTGTTCCCCCCGATTCCCCTATACTGTTTCCTCCTGGTCCCATATATTGTTCCCTGCTGACCCCCTATATTGTTCCCTCCTGGCCCCCCTATACTGTTCCTTCCTGGACCCCTATACTGTTCCCTCCTGGCCCTTCTATACTGTTCTCTCCTGGCCCCCCTATACTGTTCCCTCCTGACCCTCTATACTGTTCCCTCCTGGCCCCCCTATACTGTTCTCTTTTGGTCCCATATATTGTTCCCTCCTGACCCTCTATACTGTTCCCTCCTGGCCCCCCTATACTGTTCCCTCCTGGCCCCCCTATACTGTTCCCTTTTGGTCCCATATATTGTTCCCTCCTGACCCTCTATACTGTTCCCTCCTGGCCCCCCTATACTGTTCCCTCCTGGACCCATATATTGTTCCCTCCTGGTCCTCTATACTGTTCCCTCCTGACCCTCTATATTGTTCCCTCTTGACCCTTCTATACTGTTCTCTCCTGGCCCCCCTATACTGTTCCCTCCTGACCCTCTATACTGTTCCTTCCTGGCCCCCCTATACTGTTCCCTCCTGGTCCCATATATTGTTTCCCTCCTGGCCCCCTATACTGTTCCCTCCTGACCCCCCTATACTGTTCCCTCCTGGCCCCCCTATACTGTTCCTTCCTGGTCCCATGTAATGTTCCCTCCTGGCCCCCCTATACCGTTTCCTCCTGGTCCCATATATTGTTCCCACTGACTCCCCTATACTGTTCCCTCCTGGCCCCCCTATACTGTTCCCTTCTGGGGCCCCCTATACTCTTCCCTCCTGGCCCCCCTATACTGTTCCCTTCTGGCCCCCCCCTTATACTGTTCCCTCCTGGTCCCATATTTTGTTCCCTCCTGGCCCCCTATACCGTTCCTTCCTAGCTCCCCTATACTGATCTCTCCTGGCTCCCTTATACTGTTCCCTTCTGGGGCCCCCCTATACTCTTCCCTCCTGCCCCCCTATACTGTTCCCTTCTGGCCCCCTTATACTGTTCCCTCCTGGTCCCATATTTTGTTCCCTCCTGGCTCCCCTATGCTTATCTCTCCTGGCTCCCTTATACTGTTACTTTCTGCTACCCCTATACTCTTCTCTCCTGTCCTATTCTCTCCTTAGCCCCCCTGTACTGTGCTGTGCTCTTCTGCTCCCCCTGTACAGTTCCTTCCCCCCATACAGTTATCTCCCCCCATACTATTCCCTCCTGGATCCCTTGTGCTCTGCCCTTCTGACCTCCTGTACACTGCTTATCTCAAATTTGACCCAGAAATTGAGCATCTTTGCAAACAAAAAGCAAGCACAAGTTTCAGCTTAAGGAGGTAAGTTTTAATATTTATCCTATTGTTTAATGCTCTTTCTAAGAACATTTTTTTATATCTACAGCTTGCTGATCAATGTTCCGTGAGCTGTACATACGGAAATTATTTCAAGGGTTCCCCGAGATCTCAGACTTTTTGCCATGGGTTCTTCAAAGGTAAAAAGGTTGAGAAACCCTGATCTAGAGTTTGGTAACATTTCCACGGTGCAATTTCTGATGAGAGCAAAGCTGCATTGTAACAAACTTACTTTCAATTTATAAAACAACTCCACACTGATTTTTTTTTTTTAATTTTTCAGAAAATTTCCACTTTTTTCCAGAAATAAAAAAAGGGGAAGATAGTTTTTTTCAAGAGCTTAAAAATTTCTGCAAATTTTACATCTCTGGTCTGGAATAACACCAAGTGTATTAAAAATTTTGAAACACTTCAAAACTTTTCCAGCAGGGGGCATTGTGTATCAATGTACGGTATTATTTGCAAATTCTACTCTCTTTCCTTCTTTACAGATATATATGTAATATTATGTATATAAAATGTTTTCTTTTGCAATATTAATTCCCTTGTTCCCTTGTGTTACTTTATCTAAAGATACAGTGTTTTCTTTCAGACACATTTCTCCTTTCCTCTGTTCTTCAGATTTGATGTATAGCAGGGGTCCTCAAACTTTTTAAACAGGGGCCAGTTCACAGACCTTCACACTGTTGGGGAGCCGGACTATAGTTTGAAACAAATATGATCAAATTCATATGCAGACCACACATATCTTATTTGTAGTGCAAAAAATCAGGAAAAAACAATACAATATTTAAAATGCACTGTACACTGTAACGCACTGGACACCACAATGCACTGTATACTGTAATGCACTGTACACTTTAACACACTGGACACCGCAATGCACTGTACTCTGTAACGCACTGGACACCGCAATGCACTGTATACTGTAACACACTGGACACCGCAATGCACTGTACTCTGTAACACACTGGACACCAAAATGCACTGTACTCTGATAGACTGCACTCCGCACACTGTACTCTGTAATGCAGGACACCGCAATGCACTGTACTCTGTAACACACTGGACACAATGCACTGTACTCTGTAACACACTGGACACCGCACTGTACTCTGTAACACACTGGACACCAAAATGCACTGTACTCTGATAGACTGCACTAATGCACTGGTACACTGGACACCGCAATGCACTGTACTCTGTAATGCACTGGACACCGCAATGCACTGTACACTGTAATGCAGTGGACACCGAAATGAACTGTACTGTGTAATGCACTGGACACCGTAATGCACTGTACTCTGTAATGCACTGGACACCGCAATGCACTGTACTCTGTAATGCACTGGACACCGCAATGCACTGTACTCTGTAACACACTGGACACCAAAATGCACTGTACTCTGATAGACTGCACTCCGCAATGCACTGTACACTGAAATGCACTGGACACCAAAATGCACTGTACACTGTACCGCACTGGACACCAATATGCACTGTACACTGATACACTGCACTCCGCAATGCACTGTACCTGGTGCTTGGTGTGCTCTCCTCTCCTGTTGCTCCTCTGTTTGCAGTAGGTGAAATCAAGGGTTTCCAGGCTGCCACTCTCTGGGTCCTCGAGGCTCCCCCGATATTTTTTTTTGGGCTGGCTGGCTGGTTCCGCAGGCCGGAATAAATGGCTTTGGGCCTGTATATGCCCCGTGGGCCATAGTTTGAGGACCCCTGATGTACAGTACATGAAATACCTGCAGAAATACCAAGTGTTTATTTTGCTGTAAACACAATTATGGTCCTTTCACACGGAGCGGACCCATTTAGCGGATCTGCCTGCTTAGCGAGGGATCTCTCCGCTGATCCCTGCTGAGCAAGTGGTTGACAGGTCTGTGTCCATTTTACTGCTGCAGAGCGGGAACACAGCAGTTCGGTGTCCTCAATGGGTAGTCGGATGGAAATGGACCGCATGTCTGTTTCCATCTGACCCAATCCAATGGATAGAAGGGGAAATGGATCTCCATCCGTCTCTTTTTTTGCGGGTCGGTTCGGATTAAATGTCGGCAGGTGTAAACGGACAAATAACCGTTTACACCCGCTGCTCCATAGAGGAGAATGGAGGTTCCGATCGGGTCCACCTGAAAAAACGGGGAGGCGGACCCGATTGGAATGTCCAACTATCCAACTATAATAGGGACAGGGGCGGACTGACCATTTGGAAACTCGGGCACTGCCGAGGGCCTGGGGTCAGTAGGGGGCCCCATGAGATGCCCCTAGTACCTTTTTCATAGGCTTTTTTGAGTTTGGGCAAAGACCCCCCATGATCCCCTATTGCCTGGGGGCCCCATGAGTTGTCAGTCCACCCCTGAATAGGGAACTCCATTACTTGGTTGGGCATTTCCAACCCACCCACTGTTGTCCCTACAGGACTGTGACATATCATTTCACTTCCTGCTGCCCAGGTAATTGGAAAAATTCCTTTTTTGGGTAAAAAAATCATTCTGGCTGCAACCTTGAGATTTGGGTTTTGCCTTTGTTCCAGCTATATTATTTTGGGGTAATTGTGTAAAAGATGCTGTTTACTGGGTAAAAAAAAAAACAAGTACACAAGCATAAGAAAAACATCTGGTTATTCTTGTAGCACTGTGTTCCCCTGTTGCACAAAAGCAAATATAGTAAGTACATAAGAAAAAACTAACATTATTACTTCAGTGGTAGACATTCCTCTAGTGCACTGGTCTCCAAACTGTGGCCCGGGGGGGGGGGGGGGGGGTGAATGTGGCCCTTTGCTTGTCTTTATCCAGCCCTTGGGGCTCTATTCTTTTCACTGACACCAACAATGAGGCATAATTTTTGTTGCTGACACCAACAGTGGGTCAGTATTCCTTCCACTGACACCATTGAAAGGGCACAATTCCTCCCACTGACACCACCAATGGGGCATAACTTCTTCCAGTGATACCAACGATGGGCCAATATTCCTCCCACTTACAACAATGATGGGGCAGAATTCCTTCCATTGACACAAATGATGGGGGCATTAGTCCCCCCCACTGACACCAAAGAAAGGGCACAATTCCTCCCACTGACACCAACAATGGGGCACTATTCCTCCCACTGACACCAATGATGAGGCAGAATTCCTTCCACTGACACCAATGATGGGGGCATTAGTCCTCCCACTGAGAACAATGATGGGACACTAGTCCTCTCACTGACAAAGATAGGGCATTGGTTACACCCACTGGATGCCAGGACATTTTCTATTCCCACTGACCCTAGTCCATCCCTACTAAATTTTCAAGAACAGTAAACTGGCCCTTTCTTTAGAAAGTTTGGAGACGCCTGCTCTAGTGACCTTCAATTTGATCTCATGTAATAGTCCATTCACATCATTCTGTGTGTGTTGTAGCATGCAGTTACTGAGTTTTAATAAAAAATGGGGCGAGTGTTCATTCACTTTTGGAATACCAAGGAGCATTTGTGCAGAAAAAAAAAAAATGCACCTTACCCTCGTTACATCAGTTTGCACTGCAATAGAAAAATGCCTGTGCTGTTTTGTGGTGCACTGAGAAAAAATAGGCCAGGTACAGATTTTTTGATCCAAGGATGCCCATTATATATTCTTAAAAAAATAAATGGCCTGTGCATCAATGACCAAAGACACCTGTTAACCACTTTAAACTCCGGAAGGTTTTACCCATTTTTTTTCAGTTCGGTATCGAGCTATTTTAACTCGCAATTGCGTGGTCATCCAACACTGTACGATAATGAAATGTAAATCTTTTTTCACACAAATAGAGCTTGCTTTTGGTGGTATTCGACCACCACTTCATTTTTTATTTTTTATTATATAAAATGAAAAAAGAACAAAAATCTAGAAAAAAAACAAAAACAATATATTCTACTTTCTGTTATAAAACATATCAAATTAAAAAAAAAATTAAAAAAATCACATTTCTTACAAAATTTAGACCAAAATGTATTCTGCTATATGTCTTTGGTAAATAAAAAAGCCCAGTAAGTGTATATTAATTCATTGGTTTGTGTGAAAGTTGTAGCATTTACAAACTATGGTATACATTGGGGATGCAACGATACCATTTCTTATCGGTGAGTACCAATACTTTCAGTCAAGTACTTGCCAATATCGAGTACTGATACTTTGTGGTGCGATTTGCACCAATACAAAATGTATGGGCGCAAGTTGCACCGCAAACAATAGCATGCGATTTAAACAGGAATGCAATTCCTGTACAAATCACATGCAGTTTCCCCACTGCTCCTGTGTGAACCCAGCTTGCCATAGCTGAGTTCACACAGGAGTGGTGCTGGAAACCTCCCTGTACTGATCCCATACTGAGCGGACGGTGGGAGAGAAAGGGTGTGGTAGGATGTATACCTTCGGCCATCAGAGGATGGAGGCAGATGCTCCAGATTCTCAGCTGTAGGAGAGGAGAGAAAGCTGCGGGGATTTGAAATCCTGATGTATTGAAGGCCGATCTCATTTCTTGAGGCCCTAAAATGCCAGGACAGTACAAATACCCCCAAATTTACCCCTTTTTGGAAAGTAGACAGTCTGAGGTATTTAGTAAGAGGCATGGTGAGTTTTTTTAAAGTTGTAATTTTTTGTCACAATTTGTTTGTATATGAAGAAATTAAATAGAATTCTTTTTACATACTGTCACTAGTGCAGTACAGAATCATTATATGACTGGTGTGGCAGTGATCAGTGACACTAAATGGTGACAGTATGTAAAACATGCATTCATCAAAGTAGTTCAGTGTCCCTATAGCAGTGTTTCTCAACTCCAGTCCTCATGGAGCCCCAACAGGTCATGTTTTCCGGATTTCCATTATTTTGCACAGGTGATTTGATCAGTTTCACTGCCTTAGTAATTACCACAGCTGTTTCATCTGAGGGAAATCCTGAAAACATGACCTGTTGGGGGTCCATGAGGACTGGAGTTGAGAAACACTGCCCTATAGCAATACTGTACTACTCTGAACACTGTAACAACATTTTGCACTGTTATGAATGGGTTACATTCATGACAGCTGTGATTACTAGTGATCTGTGATTGGCTACAGCTACAAGTTCAAGGTGCCGGTATAGGCACAGGTACCATGTGACAGCATTACTATAGGAATCACAGCTGTTATGAATGAATTTCTGCATAACAGCTTTGTTGACACTGTGATGCAATCACATGATCCTCTAGCCGATCAAATTAGCCAGGTACCAGAGACCGCAATCCACTGTGTCCGCAGGAGCAGCGTGCTGCGAGCCCCAGAGGGTGTGCTAAGCAATGTATGGGTGCGTCACTTAGCCTGTATCTGCCACCCGTACATATACTGCGGGTGCTTGACAACTGGTTAATGTGCATATCAGGACCTGGATCACCTGCTGGTGGCACTCTTCTTCCCAGCGTGGAAGATTGTTCTTCCAGCATCCACCAGCAGGTGTCTCCCAGCAACCAGCAGATCCCAGTAATCGGTCTTCACCTAGCTCCTCTTCGGCTGATACACCTTGCTCCAGTATTTTGCTTGCTTCCAGATATTACTAGCTGGTATTTTGTTCCTGTTCTTTGATCATGATCTCCGTCTAGTACCTTAACTCTGAATCCTGCTGCCTTATTCCTACTCCCCCTTGTTCCTGGCCCCAGTTTTGGTTTCCCGTTCCCAAATTTTCTCTGCACCTCCAGTTTTACCGTGCTTTCCTGTGTTCCCTGTTTGTATATAATGTATATAGTTAGTTTGGCAGTTAGGATTTCTGTTATTCTAGTTAGGTATTTTGCCACTGGGTTTTTGGTTCACTTGTATCTTTATGTTTGCTTTACTGGTGTTGGATTTCTTTAGTTTTTCTATTGATAAATTCACTTTAATATATAGCGTATGGTCCGATCTGTTTCCTCGGTGTCAGGGGAGGACTGACAACTCATGGGGCCCCCGGGTAATAGGGGATCATGGGGCCCCTGTGTCCTTGCTCACACTCAAAGCACACCCAAAAAAGCCTATAAAAGGTACCAGGGGCATTTCACAGGGCCCCCTACTGACCCTGGGCCCTCGGGCAGTGCCCGAGTGCTCTAATGGTCAGTCCACCCCTGCTCGGTGTAACCAAACAGATGTGACCATGCCTGCTGCTGATTCCTGACAGTGCCAGGACAGTGTCAATAGACATTTAAGTGTATCTACAATCAAAATTGTTTTTATAAAAATTAATTGTTTTAGGTAGTAGGTACGAAGGATGAGTCACTATGAAGCACCTCCAGTATTACCATAGACTATAAGAAGCTAGTCTCAGCGGTAGACTCACATCTGAGAAAAGACATTTCAGCCACTATCATGGCCACTACATAGCAACATCTTGGCTCCATTAATGTGGTGCTGGACAAAAAAACAAATTTCATGACATTGAACCCAAGGTGAGAAAGATGGAGGATCACATTCATGAAACAAAACAGGCAGCCAATAGGACACTATGAAGGTATGCGGGCCCTTATTGACATAACAGACGATCTGGGAAATCAGACACACCACAACAATTTACAAATATCTGCCTATCTGAAAGTATCCAACCAAATGCCCTTAACAAAATTTGTATTGCTGCAATCCCCAAAGCATTGGGCCTCTCAAGCAATTGCAAGGTGGAACAAATTCATTAATTTGGTCCTTGCCCGTGAGAGTTAAAATTCCCCAAGACAGACATAAAGCAGTACCTAGACTTCTCAGATAGAAAACAGATTCTTACAGTTACCATGCCCAACACAACTTGGTAGCTGGACAGACATAAATTACAGATATTTTGGGACTAGGATCTCACTCAAACAGACATACCTTACAAGCAAAAAAAAAAACTGTGCAGAGATGGCACTAGGAGCCCTTGTAGTTGGTTGCAAGGTAGAGGTTGATATCCTTATACATGCAAAATGCAAAGACATGACATGCAGGAGGGTAGATGGTCATAAGTAACTGTACAACTAAGCCACCAGGAAATTGCTATATGACGTGTTTATGGCCCCTGTTTAGACAATTACAGATTCTCTGAACAACTACTAGAATTGACTGTACCTTCATTGGTTGGGACCCCAGTGATGTGCTTTCTGCTTTGGAAGACTGTTCCTTTTGCCCTAAAACCTATCCCAGCCACCCAAGTGCTTAGGACAGTCACCTATCCACATTGATGACTGCTGGAGGTCTGAAGGATGCCACCCACTATTTCACATCCATAATAAGGGATATCTAGAATTGACTTATTCCTTTCATCTCTTTCTCTGCTTCCCAGAATTTAGTTAGTAAACAAAGACACTGCAGTTATTTCTGATCATGCCCCAGCATCTCTTTACTTGAGAAGACTGTAGATGAGGGTTCCCCCTTGGTCTGAAGAGTTCCTGCTTATTTAATGTCTAATGACCAGGGACAGCGCTACTGTTAGGCAAACTAGGCAGCAGCCTAGGGCACACTGCTGCCCAGGGTACAGCCATGGCTGCTGGGAGGGAGGAGGTGAGGAAGTATCCAGCAAAAGTGACAAGCCAGTAGGAGAAGAATGTGAGAAGCCAGTGGGAGAAGGATGTGAGAAGCCAGTGGGCTGGAGGGGTCAGGAGGAAAACTGAGGTAGCACTAGGACACAGAGTGGTGGAGAAGGAATCTTTCTGACTGGTGGATGAGCAGAGGATGGTGATAAAGGCTGTGGGAGTGGGGTTGGGGCATTGGAAGATGAGATACTGACTAGACCGAAGGATGTCTGAGTGTCCACTATGCTAGCTGAGGCAGCATTGAGAAATGAAACTGGCGTCACTGGGTTTAAACTTGACAGATGGGTGTGGCTAAAGAGGTTGACAGATGTTGGGGTGGGCTAAGTCCCTGTTTGGGGGATATTGTGAGGATAATAGGGATATGTGAAAGGGGTATGTGACCTTATGGGGGAGAGTTTGAACCATATTGCAAGAGGAATTTTTTTTGGGAAGGGGGGTGGTGGTGCAAGTAGCAGCCTTGCCTGGGGCACAAAATAGTCTAGCACCTACCCTACTAATGATATTGTCATAAAAACAAAATAAATATGTAGAATATGATGCAATTAATTTAACTGAACCTATACTGTTCTGGGAGACAGCAAAAGTTGTCTTAGTAGGATCCAGCCCTATGCAACTTCAAAAAAAAACTGGCCCATTGCAGAAGTATTTAGAAGTCTGCAGAAATGTACAGGAGGCATGCTTGCTCTATATGTCACATGATTGCAGGTCACAGAGAAAACTGGTCTGAGAGCCAAACAAATATGCAATCATTTGGCTTTCCCAATATGACCAAACATTAGATCATTAAAGGCTGTAGAACTTGTCTCTGCTTGTCTCCGGGATTTTGTAGGGGAAATGCAGTATGTAATATGAAAGTAGGGTGCCGCGGGCCCCCTGAGCTAGGGGATGGGTCGCAATTGCGACCCCTGATGCTACGAAGATGGCCCCCTCACAAAAAAAACAAAAAACTGAAGGTTTACAAACATTTTATTGTCTCGCTCTTGGGATTTGTAGTTTGCCAACCAACTTGTGGTAATAGCATAGTGTCTCTTGTGAAATTCACTTCCCACAATTTTCCTCCAAGTCTGTCTTGTTCTCCATGTTCCCAGGTCTCCTTTAGTGGATGGAGGCAGAAATAACGCTGGTTGTATCTATGCAAAAGTTTTTTGTGTACTCACACACAGAAACAGCAACGGCACAGTGAGACTGCAGCTACTCTCTCCTGCCAATTAAATACTGGGCCTACACATAATTGCATGGAGACAGGAAAATTTCAGGGACAGTGCCTGCTCCTATAACCCTGACTACATCTCCAGTCTTTCCTCAAGGGGCAGACTCCAGAGCATTTAAAAATGGGGTAACAAAGGAATCCACATGATTCAAGACTCTTATCGCCAAACATGCAAACCATTCTAATACCAGCAACAATTATGCAACTTTCCTTCCAATAGTAACAGGTTCACCACGTCACCATGTCTCTTCTTACTCCACCACAGAGGACTTACACCAGACACCTCACCTACTCTCCACCTCAACAAAGTAAATATCGTTTTCTTTTATTCCTACCCTTTGAACAAGCAGCAATCCACCTCGTCCTCCATACCTACCAACTTTCTCAAGTGGGCTCAATTAACCCAACCTAAAAATGCAGCTCTGGTCATGCACAAGCATATCTAGAAAAAACGACGAGACCGCCTCCAAATGTACCATACTCCACTGATGGCATGGGAAGACCTCATAGCATTCAAGAATGGCTGACGCATTTTCAAAGGTCAAGCCCTCTCTACTGAGTCCTCCAACTCTCTCACTTGTAGGGAGATCATCCAATGGGGGTGTAGGCATCTGCACTCCACCCCAGGCACCTGCATCTCTCTTGTCCCCATCCAGCACTCAGTGGAAGCTACTCAAGAGATCAGATATATGGGAGCCAGTGGGAAACAAGCTGTCACTTGTAAACACAGAAGCCAGACTTCTGTGTTTACAAATGATAGTGGTGAGCAAGGGACAGAGGGCATGAGCTAAGAGGTGGTAGAACTGAGTTCCACCAAGTTCCAGCTGAAAAAAAGCCCTGGTTATGATGAAGTATGTTAGGACTACAGAATTCCCCCTTCACCACCCATGGTATGAAGAATAGAAGAGATGTTATGTAGACCTAACACACATTCTGTCCAAAGGGTGACAACGCTGCATAAATACAGTACAGTGAGTACTGAACATTGTAACCCTTAGATGGGAAGTGTGTTACTGGCAGGATTACAAGGTGAAAAGAAAAAAAACAAAAAGGCCTAAAAATGAGAATGAATGCCACAACATGTAAGGACTGCAATTTTGTACAGTTTTGTTCTTGGGTTTAGATATGCTTTAATTCCTGGATATAAGCTGTATCTATGGCCTCTGCTAAGCTATGTGAGTTTGAATGTAATAGACTATATAAAATCTCAGTGAAATGTAAATTGATCAGGCTTTCTAACTGTAGTATGGAATGTAACCTTT